TACACAGCTCTGCAATGACCCCCTCCCCACCTCCTCCTACTGCTCTGGGAGTTTTATTGCTGGGCACCACTGTACAGTATGGAACATCCCTCTGTTCAGTGTGGGTCTGCTGCCCAGCTGTGTGCCCACCCAGCCTCTTGCCCAGCCCCAGCCTACACTCTGGGGTGGTGGATGGGCAGAGTTGGGGAAAAAGAAAGTCCCAAAGCTGGAGGACAAGAAGCTGACTCCTATTTTCTTTCTAGCATTAAGGAAAAAGGGTTAGTCAGTAAGGACAGCAAGAGTCATAGCCAAACCCTCCACTCTCACAGGGCTACAGCTGCAGTTACACATTGCTTTCAAGACTGTGCAAACAAAGTACTAAACCAAACACTCAAAACCCAAGAAATTTATCATCATCACATTTTATGCTTGTAATCTTTGAAAATGTTTATGCTATGTTCATTTACAATACTAACACTTCCCATATGCTGTCACCAGAGCATGTGTTAGGAGCTGATAAGAACAGAGACGTTGTATATATATGGATGCTGTCTCAGAAGGAGGGATGGAAAAAACCATCTACACTGAGGAAAGCTGATGTATGAAAGACACACAAAGGAGCCCCAACATGGAAATACCTACCTGAACTCCAAATAGAGGGGATCCACAGCCATTTGGTGGTGATGGTTTATATCCATAGCGAGGAACAGGTCTTGATCCTAAAAATGGTAATTTGTCATGTCTCAGATTTTTTTGCACAGGATTTTAGTAGTTTTAAAACTCACCACAGACATTTGTTTGCCTCAAGACAGTATCAGTAGTATTTTTAACTTAAACATATATTCAGGTACCTGCATATCAACAATTCTTTCCAAATCACAACCTGGGGGTACTAGGCAATTTTTTTTAGAAAGGGGGACAAGGGAGGACACACCTGAGCAAGTGTCAATGTTTGCTTCCTAAGTTAAAAAAAAATTATTAAAATCCATGTGTTGGTTAAGTATGCAATATAAAGGACTATATTAACCGAATACTTTAGTGTAAATTCATTAATATTTCTATGCTCTATATGCAAACAACAGCAGTTATCTATTTTTTTATCTTAACTGGGATGAAACATCATTTTTATTTCTACAGCTGTAACATTAATAGAATTTGAATTAGTAGAGACTGCTAAACTCACATCTCCCTGAACACTCGCTAGTGCAGCAAACCAAGGAATTCTGCATCCCAAGTTAAGAAAGACTGTGGAGTTAATTTGAAAAATGATCCTCCCGTTCATTTCAGTATTGGAAACAATCTGAAGCCACAGTCAAATGTAATAGGGAAAGAAAACCACATTTGAAAGACGCATATTTTAGTACAGAGCGTAAATGTCACCGTGTCCTGGCCACTCTCGTAGAGCCAGCCAGCGTGTCACCACCAGACTCATTTCCTGACTTAACAAATAATCTGACACAGTAAACTGGGGTGATGTGACTCCACCACGGCAGGCTATATAGCAGCCTCCCATTCTGGGGTGCTAGTAAAAAGCCTGGAAAGAAATCCCATTTCTGGAGCGTCGCCTGCCTGGCTCTGGGGATGGGCACAGCACGGGAGGTGATCACAGAATGGGTCAGGCTGGAAGGCACCACAGTGAGTCATCTGGACCAAATGCCCGGATCAAGCAGGGTGATCCTAATAATAATGGCCTAATATAATAATAATGATGATTATGATAATAATAATAATAATAACCATAATCATCTATCAGGTCATGCCAACTTGAGCTGCCTCAATTATAGTTCAGGCAAATCAGGCAGCTGAAGCGCAGGGAAGAAGCACAGATCACAGCTGTCCTCTGCTGGCAGCAGCAGGACACTTACGAACAGCAGGATGCATTCCTTCCACTGGCAAACGCGGCTGCCATTAAAACCTGTTATTCAAGAGCGACTTCGAAACAACATATTCCACAGCTCAGATTTAAGCTTTTCTCTCCCAAAGCGAAATGCTCAGGAGGGCTAATAAATAACCAGCCGGGAGAGAGTAACTCTTCCCACTCCAGAGTTTTTCCCTGGACACATCAGCTACGTATTTGACAGTAATAAGCCTTTCTCCAAGGGAAACGTCTTGGACACGCTGAAAAGGAGCGACTTAGAAGTCGCCTTAGGAGAACTGCTTGCGTGTACCCCTGCTCCGTACAGGTTATACACGTATTCAAACACACATACACATACACCTTGCTCGCCGAGGTTCCTACAGTATTTACAGGAATGCACGCCGAAGAGCTCCTCAGCGAGGCTCGCCCCGGCGGCGGCGCTGGGCCGCCCTGCCCGGCACAAGGGTCGCGCCGCCAGCCCCGCTCACCGTCGCTGCACTTGTACTGGCAGAGCCCGTCCTCGCCGCCCAGCAGGTCCAGGGCCGCGTTCAGGTACATGTCGATCTTGTGCACGCCATTGCGGATCGTCTTCAGCGTCATCCGCCAGTCCGGGCTCTGCGGCGCCTCCTGGCCCCGCGCCGGCCGCCAGGCGCAGGCCGCGACCACCAGCAGCAGCAGCGGGGGCAGCAGCGACAGCCGGGCCGGGGCCATGCCGAGCCCGCTAAGCCGCCGCCTTCTCCTCCGCCGCCCGCCCAGCCCGGCCCGCTGCCACCACCGTCACCACAGCCACCGCCAGGGCCGCCATGCTCCCCGCAGCCCCGCCCGAGCGCCCGCCCGCGGGGAGGGGCCGCCCCGCCGGCCGTCCCATGGCCGCGCCGCCGAGCGCTCTGTGTCCCCTGTGCCGTGTCCCGTGTGTGCCATGTCCCCTCTGCCCTGTCCCCTCTGGGTGCGGTGTCCCCTCTGCCGTGCGCGGCCTTCCGAACCGCGGTAGCGACAAGCGGGGCCTGCCCCGGTTCCTGGCAGCTCGGCGCTGGCTGAGCAGGGCCCCGGAGGTACCGAACCTTGTGACGAAGCTGGGTGGGAAGGAAACTGACCCGGCCGTGCTTGCACATGTGTTTTTCGGCGTCGCCGAAAGTAAGGGGCGCTTGAAAAGTGTAAGGAGCAAAATGAAAGTGTATCTGTTAAACGGTAAAAGTCCGGTCTTGATTTGTTCAAAGGAAAAATCAGACCAAAATGAACTTGCTTACTGAGCGCCGTGTTTGGTTTTCAGAATTAAAAAAAAAAAATTAAATGCTAGATGCTTCGCAGATGAGCTGAATTGGAACCACATGAAAATTGTTTTAATTTTTGTAATGAAAACGCTGATTGTTGTGTGAAATCCCTCAGAAAATAGTAATATTTGGCTTCAGGGCCCAAGTTAAATGTAAAGAACCGGAAATGGAAAGAGAGCCAAGAGACGTTCAGAACAGACAGGGCATAAAGACACATGGTTTTTTTCTCTTTTTTTCTTCTTTTTTTTTTTTTTTTTTATTTGCAACCTCGGCATTTAATATTGTGTGTACTTAACTAACGAAATTGTTGGGAAAAGTGCTTCACAGAAAAATTAAGTCAAAAGAGGGAGCTCTTTGTACATCTGTCGAGCGTTTTCCTTTTTAGAATTTCTTTACCAAGACCCCGATTCAGCAAAATTATTTCTGTGTAGGAATGTACTTAAATGCTTTCCTAAATAGCAAACTTTGTTGAGGGTGTGTGTGTTTGTAAAGAGAAGGAATTTGCACCCTTACTTTAATTATTTTGGTGACTGATGGTATCTTTATGTGACAGAGTCATGCTGATGTGGGGTTTTTACAAGTCTGGAAGATGAAGAAAAGTCAAAACATAAAAATTGTTGTCTGACTGTGGTGAATTATAGAAGAAATAGCACCACAACAAGTGTGTTGTGTGAACATATGCAATTTATTCAACAGGATAATTTAGAGAAATAAAGTGAAATAGATATTGAAAGTATTTGTCATTAGAATACAGTGAATGCTATTGTATTCTATTGAATAATTATCATACAACTGGCTGGAGCTATATGAGCTTTGTGTTGAGGATACCAATCCACAAATCAAATTCTACTGCTTCAAAAAGAATTTGTGCACACTTTTTGTGAACAGCTCTTGCTGAATGGGAAGGTATTATGTATAGCCTGATGTTTTCTTTACGACAGCAAGAAGTCTAGCTTTGTATCTGCTACATGGTTTTGTAGAATTAAATCTACGTGTATAAGGTATTATCTTTTTATATATTTATATTGCTATATAAAATGTATGTGTATAAGAATACAGATGCACACAGAGTGTGTGATAGTGTCTAGAGTAAAACTCTGCTTGGTGTTGAGAGTTTGTTGGATACCTGAAATACATATACATACACAGAGATCTTAAGATGTAAAGATGCTTTTGATTTAAGTTGAAGATTTAAGTTTCAAAATCCCTTTTTTGTTTGTGACCAGCTGCTGTTAAATTCATAAAACTTAAGAGCTACAAAAATTGCGCCAGGCTAGATGATCATATGATGTATTAGATATTAATTGTCTAAGTTTGTAGCTGCAAAAACTACCAAGGAGATTTATTATTTATTTTATTATTTAAAACTACCAAGGAGATTTATTATTTGATTTATTATTTGAGTAATTGTTGCATTACAACAAATCTCATGGTCATTGCCAATCTGTTGATTAGTAGATGGGCTGAGGTCTACTTTTGCAATAAGCCTAAGGAATCAAGTGCCAAGCCAGGCAGCCTGCTGAGGGTTTCTGTGACTTAGACCTCGAGATGATGTAAGTTCTTTAAAGCAGGCTGGCTGCTGTCCTTTCTGTGAAGTTCACATATTGCCAGTGCAGTCATTTTCCAACCACTGCTTCCAGTACCATCATCCCTTTTAGCTAAATAAACAACAGCAACTGAAATGCAATATGAAAGTGGGAAAAAACCACAAGATGATGAGAAAAAAATGTTTTAATATCTGCTTTTATTAGAGACCTTTGCAGTGGACTTGTGCCTGTAAAACTCTCTTCCCACAGCCTCTGCAAAAATGTGGTATTCAGAGAGTGTTAAGAATTTTCAAAATACATTCCTTGAAAATCTGTACTGATTCTTGCTAAGTTACATGACAGCTGATTGTGGAAAAGGACTATAAAGGAAGCATTTAATTTTCTGAGCTTCAGATATTGTACCGTGAAATGAGAGCCCTTGACACATGGTGGCTGATCCAGTCATAATAGCTGGCAACTTGTGTGTACACGCCAGGGTGACCGGCCTCCCCGCAGTTCTCACCCCAGCTCACAATGCCCCACACGTAGGCCACGTCTTCTGCATCAAAGCAGACCAGGGGGCCTCCTGAATCCCCTTTACAGCTGTCTGTGGAGCCATCGTAGGTACCTGAAGGGGAAATAAAAAGTGAAGGTGAGTTAAGGTACAAGCTGGCTGGCACACGAGGAGGCAGAGCTCAGGAGATGGTTCAGGTCTGTGTCGCTTCCTGGGAAAAACGCCAATCACTTGTTTTTAAAATTTTAAAAGTTTAATAGTAATAAAATGGTTCTAAAAATAGTAATATAATTAGAGTAATAAAAATTTGGACAATTAGGATTTAGGACCATATGAGACAATAAAAGAAAGAGTTACAGACAGCCTGGGTACCTCTTTCTGGGTAAAATAATCCTGAAAAAGGACACCTGTTAACAGAGGATTAACCCTTAAAAGCAATTGCCTGTTGCATATTCATACACCTCATACATGATGCATAACTCGTGTTCAAAGGAAGGATTCTGTCTGGTCAGTGTCAGCTTCTTCCTCTGAATCCTAATGGTGTCTTCAGGGCTTCTTCAAGGTGGGAAGAAGTTAGTTTCTTCTGATAAGAGAGCAATAAATTCTTTTTCTCTGAAAGATTTAGGTGTCCTGTGGCTGCTGTCTCAGTGCAAGTACCTCATTCCTTTCTTTAAAAAAAGTATCTTACATAGCATAGTTTCTATTTTAACATTATGTTATTATGTAAAACTATATTTAACACACTTAAGAAAATTAATACAGCATAACTTTCTAACATAACACATATAATATTCATTTTAATATTTGAGAAAAGCCAATCATCATATATGCATGTTTCATACTTCCTGACAGGTGTTTGCCTAATGGTCACCAGTAAACAAGATTTTGAACGTCTTCTTTAAGTCTGTTACTTCTCATTTCTAGTGCAGGGCCTCTCTTTATACTTGTGGCTGGTCCAAATTCTCATTTGCATTTTCATCAGTCTTGTTTTATGCAGTGCAATAGAGGAGAATTCAGCCACATTTTTCCTATAGACTCAGTAAAAGTTTATTAATTTCTAGCACCCTTACTACACTTTCCTGCTTGGCTGACTGACCTAGTATGAACCATACAAAGCACAAGTCCCCGAGCTTTTAAAATGTAACCTCTTTCTTGAATCTGTACATTACTGAGAAAGAGTTATGTAAATTTTTCAGAGTTAGGATTACTAATCCTATGAAACAAGAATTTATTGCCTTTAATCAGTTTAATTAATACTTGCTTGTATTACTAACTCCTGTGAATACCAAACCTTAATTTTAAAGTTTTTATTTCCATCAAGGAGGGGATGTTAACCCCAGATATCACCTTTCTGAATGTGTCTCATGTGGTACTGTCATTGTCCCCTCATGGTAGAGTATGATGACTTGAAATATGTTGAAGAAAAGGGAGATAAGTTACAGAACTGGTGCACTAAATAAACCCGGTATCTTACAGATGACATCCTGAATTTATTACAAATTATTTTGTTTTTATATCTGGTTTTAATTTTCTTGTTGAGTAGTTTGTTTAAAGATTGCTTTCCTTTTTTGATTTAACAAACAGTTGAAACCATCTGCCCTGTGAGCTGAATACTCACTGTTCTTTTAGTCATGTATTTGGCAACACTTTGTGTCACTAGGGAAGCAATAAATGTGCATTCAAAATCCTCATTTTAATACTAGGAGTGGCAACCAGTTTCCTGGACAGACTAATCTAAGTTTGAAAAGTTAATTGTATTTTCCTGGCATGCAGTGTGGTAGAGGCAAATGTCTAAGCAGATGAATAGTTATATTCTAGTCAACAGGGCTGTGTGTTCTAGGACAGACATTTGTTTAAATATGTTGCTGAATCAGAATCAAGTGCAGTAAAGGTAGGAGGTTCAGTAGGCTGTAAAGTGCTTGTGTATTTAGAAAACATAACTCAAATTACATGCAAAAAATTGCCCAAATAATCACAGAAACTTGTAATGCTGATGACATATTGACAAACTTGCTGTTTACAAATAGGTGTATAATGGTGGATGCCACAGGCTCAGTGGCTGGCACGTAGCCAACAGTGATATTGTTGTAGTTCATTTATTGTCTTTCTTAAGTCTAGAATATTCCCAGCCAGTAGGTTTGGCCTAAACTGAGAGTTTGATGGAGAGAAATTATAGTAAGAAAATTGATGCTTACCTGCACATGCCATTTTTTTAAAAAATCGTCCTGGATACAATTCAGAACAATTGTGAAATAAATTAACATTTCCCCACTTGAGGATAAATTGTTTTGTGTAACCTAGAAAAAAAAAATCCAAATTTAAAATGACAAGTACAAATTAGACACATTTAATATAATAATTTGAAAGTTAGTTATTTACTTATTTACAGAATATTATCTTCAGTATTATAAACCAGAAACCTTAAACTGCCACTAGTATTTACCACATATGAATTACAGTCCATTTGCCATATATTTCAAAACAAAAGCAGAGTGGTTTAATTGCAGTGTAAACTACAGTGCTTTCATTTTGTGACATTTTCACCCTTTCCATTTCCTTGTGTTCCTCAGGGGTTTTTTTCTGTGTTTTCCATATGAAGGTTTCCAGGCACTTGGAAACAGGTACATTGTTTTTTGTGAACTGGAGATGTGGCTGAGATTCATCCTTATTGCCTTTTTTCCAACTCTATGTTTATGGAGCAGTTACTGAAGATATGGGTGAGCTATGTATTCACAAGTCTAAAGGGATGCTCTCTTTTGTTCTCTGTTTGCTAGCAATTCCCAACTTTGCATTTGCTGGGATGATGCTACTGGGTATGGAGAGGAAAAACCTCCCAACCAGTAAGTATATGGTAACTCCAATGCCACGCTGTAACGCTGTGATACAAAACAAATGCTTCCCAAATCTTTGAAAGCATGATCATATTTGGCTTATCTGTCTCTGTGCAAGCTTCTCTGGCTGAACCCAAGCATGGCAGAGACAGGATGTGCTGAGTTTCATGACTGCTGGCTGCAGCTCAGATCCTGTTGGGAAGGGGACAGAGGACAGGCTGTGACTATGGGCTCCCGTGAGCTACCAAACAACATCTGTTATGTGTCCTTTACAGGTCTCCACAGCTGACAGAACTATTAGATGGTCAGAAGGAAAATTTCTTACTTCCAGGGTAGTTTTCATCCAGATGTGTCCTCCATATCAATCTACAAAGTGGCTGAAACAGGAGAGGAAGCAGTACAGAAAAGAGTGATACCTGAGTGCCAAACCACAGCCTATGTTTTCTGTACTCAGCCTCTTCTGAGTGCTTTGTGCACAACTGTTCTTCAGCCTTTTCAAAATGAAAGCTCACCACAATTAGGAAATGAGTTATACAAACAATACATTCCTGAGTGAGCACTAACGCAAATACCTTTCTCTAGTCCCCATCCAGAAACCTTGCATCTGTCACCAGTCTTAAACATATACTCTGACCAGGGGACACAGGCAGGTGTGCTGTTGTCTTCCAGGGAGCATTCTCCATGCCCAGAACCTTTCAGCTCCAGCAGAGCAATGTCATTTTCATACGTTGATGCATTGTAATTTTCATGAATTATCACTTGGTTTAGTTTGAAAGTATCTGTCTCTTTGTCGTACGCTATTGTGTTCAACATTCCGACCCAGACAAGGTAGAGATGGACTCGATTTGCCCTGGAAAAAAACAGCGAAATAAACACAAGCCTTACATTTCAACTGGTTTAAAGCTGTAAACTGTTGCATTTCATCAAAGTTTATGTAGAATAACAATCCATATTAGATGCATATATTTTCTTTCTGGACTTAATGCCCAGGTTTTTCTGAAGTGTAGTAAGTGTCATCAAGGCAGATGACACATGCTGAGTACTGCAACTAACACAGAACATGATGTTAAAGCCAGGCTCTTTTTAGTGTTGTGACAAACAAAAAATAGGTGTTTATGCTGTTCTGATAAAAGAGTGAGCAGATGTGGATGGGGCTGGCAAATTGTACACATCTGTTCTTGGCTTGTTCTGGGGAATATATAACCCCAGGGACATTCTCTGGGAACAGATCCGGGACTTCCACAAGGTAGAGATGGAGAAGAGGTCCCTTGTATTTAACTTCATGCAGAGTGGTTACAATAAACCTTTCCCGCCTGCTGCTGTCAGGTTGAAGTCTTTTCAAACTCATAGTTACTTTTTATCTTTCTATTCACTGCCAAAACACTGTTTTCTCTGAATCTTCCTCATCCTTAATGTGGGTGAGTCAGTGTTTTAAACTGTTCTATTCAACAGACAAATAGAAATTAACAAACATGTAGCTGAGAAGGGCAGTAGTATCCAAATTAATTTTTCTGCCTTGCAGAAAGAAAATAATTTCAGAATTGTTTTTACCTGACACAGTGAGCAGCAGTCAGAACCCAACAGCCACCAATATAAACCCCTCCACAGTACACTGTTGAACCTTCATTGCTGGTGTCTTTAATTGCCACTTGCCAAGGGAATTCACCCTATTCGATCAACAAACACAAATAATGAGAAATTATTACAATTGTGCAACTTCTGGTGCATAAAGGGAAAAACATTTGATTTTAAGAAAAGATGTGCTATCCAGAAGTTGTAAATTGGACTCCATCAGATATAAAGGATATATATATATATATATAAATTCAGTAATTTTATTCAATCTTCTGACTTTGTGCAATGTGTCCTTCCCTCCAGCTTTTAGTCATGAAACCCCTTGTGGTCAGAAAAACAAATGGAGGATCTCACCTGGTTTGAGTACATTTTTGCTGTATTCTGTTTCAAAGACACAAAATTTAATTCCATTTTGCCAGAATTGTTATTTTTGGCTGTAGTATTAATTTTTTCTGCGTAATTTTCAGTGTCTACTTGTACTTCAGTGCTTAATTTTGTAACTCTATATTTTACTTTATAAACTGTGCTTCTTTTTACTTTTATTCAGTGCAATGCCACTATTGCTGCAAAACATGACATAAGCATTGTAGCTGATTTTGTTCTTTCCATAACTTTAACAGAAGGAAAATAATGCCCAGTTAAATCAGTGCTGAATGAACTCATATCTGGTAAAGTTGTTTTTTACCTTTCCAGCAATCTCTCCACCTATAATTCTTTTCCGTCGAGTTAGTGTGTGATTCCTAACACCACAGTGCAATTGGGGAAGAAGTGTCTTTATCATTTTTCTTTCTTTAACAAAAAGGAAAAAAGTATTTCAGAATTCAGGTATACATTCTTGCTAAGATTTGAATGCTGTGAATATGTGAATGTGCCAGTAGCTGAAATAACAGGAAAACAAAGACCAAAATGTTGGCATCTGGTTTTGCTTTCAAAATTGCTTGTGTCTTAGCATCACATTACTTCTCTCCACTTTCCAATGCTGTTTGCATTCAGGCAAATAATTTTAAGGATGTTCCCCTAGATTTGCTGAGAGTTTACCTCAGCTGAGAGTTTACCACTTGCCAAACCATGCAGATGTAGGTCCTCAGGTAGGATGAATTATTATGGCATTCTTGAAATCAGTGAAAAGTGAGACAAACAGTAAGTCCCATAGTGTATATTAGTAAACCACAAAGTCAGAATACCTGTGTGTTCTAGATCTGAGCAGCTGGCTGGTAGCTACAAAATCACTAATAAGAGGGTATGCTATTGATTTTGGAGGGCTAATTACACTTACCTGTATCCATACTGTCATTTTCAGCACCTTCTTCTTTGCCTGTAGTATTAACAAAATATTTAAATTATCGGCAAACATTTACTTGCATATATGTTTGTGTGCTGAGATCATGGAACACATTTTAAATGCATAAGGGCATAGTGTTCACATGGAGAGCAATACTCTTCAGCCTGGTGCCTGCTGTTTCCTTTCCTGAGGCACTGTTTGGCTGCCTCAGCCTACAAATGACCAGCAGCCAGCAGATACTTGTTCATAACTACACCACATCTACTCACTCTCCAAGCCTGGGGGCCCTTCTGCCAGGAAACCCTGAGAAACTGTCCTTTTTTTGTTTGTGATCTCTGGAGAGATGTCCCATTCTCCTCCACCAGAAACAACCAAAATTTCTCCTCCTGCCCCATTGATATTTTGAAACTTTCTAAAACTCAAAGGAGCATTAAGTAACAGGTTTGTATTTGGGTTTTTTTCCCCCAATTTAGATTATGCTGTTGGGTACTGTGTGTCTCCTTTAACAGGGTAAGGGAGGATATTCAACATGAGACGTGAATTAAGTGCTTGCTGAATCTGGTTTGTCAGCTTTTATTCAAACAAAGTGCCCATTGAATTCAGTCCCTAAATGGGAGCTGAGCATTGTGTCTGTTCTCATGTCACTGACAATAATGTTTACATTTAGAGTTCAGTTTACCTGTGCTAATTACCATTTACCAATAGTTTTTACTTTTTTGGCCTTAGGCTTTGTCTCTTTTGAGAGCAAGGAAAACATTCTAATTTTCAACAAAACATAATATTTTCAACAGAGAGGGGAAAAGCACAGAAGAATTATTATATTGACAAACTAGCTGAATAACTCATTTGTGAGGAAAGTATTCCTGCTTTCTTACACTTTCTTAGGGGATACCAGTTTGATAGCTGGCCACATAAACAAAAGACATAATCTGCCTTAAGCTTCCCAAAACATCATCTGTTTATTCCTTCCGTTAGTGTTCTTGTCATGCCTTTCCAGGAAGAAAGGAGAGAAAATTCTTTGACCTTTTCTTCCTCCTATGCATAACATAACATTGGGAAGACTGATTCTTGCATAATAAATAAAATAGTAATGTGCACTGTGTAGCCTCTAATTAAAATTGAGCTGAATGAAAGAAACAAAAACATTTTCAGAAGAAAACCTGCACAGGTAGCTCCAGCTTCATCCTCTCCTGTGAGGCAGTCAATTTCTTTGTTGCAGACACTCTTATTTGGAATACAGATATTTGACCGGCAGTGGAAACTGTTTTCTCTGCACTCTGTAACACAGGAAAATTATGAAAGTAAATCACAGGATGATTTGGTTCAGCAACCTCACACTGTCAGAGAGCTTTTTACAATGTAAACCAAATGTATATCCATGTTACAGGGCCTGTTCATTAAGAGATTACAAAAGCAGGCTCTGTGCATGTAAACAAAATAAATACTTGGCTTTTTCACTTTAAAATATTGAAGTTATAAGATTTGAAAAAATGTGGATCTCTGTTACCACTGCAGTACTGTACTGCTAGACTTGGTGTCACTCCATGCCAGTTTCATCCATAACACATCCACACTCAACCTCAGCCAAAAGATCTCCAATTTTGCCAGCATCACTGATCACCTCAAATGAGGAACTGATGATGCTTGTGCCAAAGCCTACCCCCCCAAATCAGAGAACAAGCTGAGTTTTGGTTGAATGAGCTAAATGCCTAAATGCAGGATTAAGAATCAAGAGTCCTGACAGGAAAACACTGGATGAAATAACTTACATCTTCTAAAATTCTTGGTTATATGAAAAGGTATTATGAACCTGAGAACCCCCTTCCTTTTAACTTTTGTGATCCCTTTGAATGTTATCAAAAGCAAAGCAGTGCTTGAATTCATGGCAGGATCTTCTGAGCTAATTTAAGATCTTATGTCAATCTCCTATTTAAGATATTTGTCTGTAATAGAAAATAAGGTAGCTCTCTAAAAGTATCCAGATATCCCAAGGTGATCCAAAGACCACTGAACTCAGTTGAAATACTTATTTTGATTTCAAAAGCATTGTTTACAGCACTGTTTTTGTCATGTGCAATCCAAATACATGTCCACTAAATATATGAAATCACAGGTTGTTTTTTTCCTAAAATTACTGTGACCGTGTTTCCACAATTATCTCATTAAAATGACTTACAATTGTAACACTACAAAGTTAAGGTTATGGAGGGATAATGATGGGATTTGTAACCCACATTAGCATTTGGTACCTGAAACCCAAATTTTGAAAGTATTCTCCTGCATTCAAGTCATGCTAGATCCATTCCTCATTTCTAATCAGAATTTTTACAGCTGGAATTGCAGATGCTAAAGGAATGACTGCTCCTGAACAAGCAGTGTGCCAGGAACATCACAGATGTTCCACAGATGATCTTGCATTAGTAATAAATATAAGGGAGATCTTACTTTGGTTTAAAGATAGTTCATTGCAAAACCAGTGTTTTTGCTTAATTACTGATTAAAATCAGTAATCAATAATCAAAATTATTGATTTTTTCCAAGTAAAAGTACCATGTCTTCTTCAAAATGGTATTTCATGCCTGCTTTTTTGCACTTGCCTATATATAAATTATGGTCTGATTTGTTTAATTTAGTGACTTAATGGAAAAGAGAATTTAGCTGTTACATCACTGTAAAAATTCTTTGTGGGTGGATTTCTGCTGAAATTATTTTGAAACACCTGACAAAGGAAATTGTTACCTCTACAGCACAGTTCATCACTCATGTCTCCACAGTCATTGATCCCATCACAGGTTTTATTCAGAGAAATGCACTTCTTGTTGACACAGTGAAACTCCCCGTCTGAACAATCTGTGCAGCAAGATGAAAATGAAGTTAGTGTGGAATTGACTGTAGGTTCATAATTGCTCAGGGAAATACTCTGCCTGCATATTGGATTCTGTCAGCAGTTTGGCCTATCAGCAGTACATATGCTGGGGCCCAGTCAAGTAAATAGGCATAATTTCATAATTTTTTATTGCTTCTGTTGCCTTTCAAATAGGGTTTCAGCGTGACCACTCATTTTCTTCCTCTAAATTTGCCAGTAGCCTGGCAAAAGGGAATTTAATTTCTTCTCCTGAAAGGACTGGTGAGGACTAAACCAGAAATGATCAATTCAAACCCACTAGAAATTATTCAAGGGATTAGGATGATGGAGGCTCCTCCTCTAGAAAGAACTCATCAAGAGTCTGTGAATAACTGCTTTTGTAAGAAAAAACTGAGATGATTCATAGCACTTCCAGTCAGCAGTATCTCAGGCTGATACTCACCAGTGCCAAAGAAAGCTCCCTACAGAGAATGAAAAGCTGTTGGAATTCTAAACAAGGCTTTGATTTCCCCTTTACAGTGAGAAACTGAGGAGTCCTGAAACCCCCTCAGAAGACACCAGTGGTTTCCCCGTAGTCATGCTTGTCTGGCTGTGGTGCTAGTGGTGTGCTAACTGATGTCCCTCAAACAGTGAGCACCACATTGTCACCTGTCTCCTCACCAGTTAAGCCAGGAGAGGTAAGGTTCATGGGATACAATATACCCTGGTGCCCTTGGAAGGGATGATGGAACAAACAGAACCATGGATGGAATAAATTTCCTTTGGGGAAATATCTGTAAAAATACTCCGGGAGCAGCAGTGATTTTTCAAACTTGAAAACTCAAGACTATCTTGACTCCATATTGCCTCAATTGTCTTAAAGTCTGCAAAACGATGATTTAAGTGCAGGTTTTCTGTGGCTGAGAGTTCAGCAGACTGGGTCCTCATTATTTAAAATATACTTAAAATGTAAAACCAGCAAATAGATATTAAACTGAAAAGATCTACTAACCTCTGAGATTTTCATGGCACTGCAGGCTAACCAGTCCCTCATTACTATCTCTTGATTTCATCTCTATGTGACATTCAGCAAGACTTGTCTCTAGGCCCCTGCAACTTATTTGCAGACAGTTTAATGCATTTAAGGCAGATTCTGTGATGTTGGAAGTGGCTTGGTAATATTCAGCACCTCTGTGAAGATAATAACAACAAATTATATAATTTCACAATGGATTGTCCACTGCTTTTATTATTGAGAATTTATATGATTTTCCTCAGTGTCAAAGAATTTTCGTCATGGCTAAGATAAAGAGCAGACTAGCAACTGGAGTTGTCTAGGGGTAAAAATGAGACGTTTACTTTGGAAGAAATGCTAATTTTTGCAGGCTGCTACATAGAACTGTCCCCAAATGCATATGCAGCTCCATGAAAGTCACTGTGTATCACAGGGGATAGAAGTCTCCTCATGTAGCAAAACCTGTAAGCTCAGACCTCCATTTCTCTGTGGACATGGGTGAGCCATAACTTGGGAACCATCCTGCATGGGATCAGATATCCTTGGTCCCATCCAAACCACTGAATGCTGAGGAAGCTCAGGCCACTGCAAGGCTGGGATTGATAAATTTTATCTTTCTTGGTTTTACCTGAGCAGTATTCTCCTAACAGCGTGTGTATCCCCTACCTTAAAGAAACATGGATCAAGTAAATAAGTAACTAGGGAGGCTTTCAATGAGACTCCACTGCTGAATGCTCTGTCCAGGGCAAACCCCTCTGCTATCTGAAGATACACTGATCAGGACTAGGAAACACTTGCTTCTCACCTAGAGAGGTACTGCAATAGCAGCTTTAGTTTTCTGGGGACATTTTTAGGGTTTTTTTTTCTGGTAAGGTTGGGAAGGCAATGCTACCTCAGTTATGTTATGTGTAGAGGTGTAAAATTATTATGAATAGGATATAGAGGTAACTTTATGAGGAGCTGAATATGCAGCTTTGGTTATCATTGTGGTTGCAGAAAAAGTACAGGCTGTGTGTGACTTCAGCTGGCTCTGGGGCCAGAGCAAGCAGTGGCAGCAGGGGTGAAGGAAAAAAACCTGTGTTCTGCTCCTTGTTAGTCTGGCTAATGCAAGTGGCAAAAGAGCTGTACCCTGCTGTCAGCTGTCCTGAGAAACCTTTCTCTGCTCACAGATCATTGCTCAGAGCTACTTGGGAGTGGTCCATCCATGCATTTTCCCTAACACAGGCCTGAGAGAACGCCTCCACACTGGTCTTCATCTCTATTTTAAAGCAAAACAGTTATGGTTTGTATCGTTGTAGCCTGTAACAGAACACAGAAATCTGTTTTGGCTTTCACTCTCAGGTGTCAGTTTAAGAAGTTTTATCAGAATATTGTAGCCAATAAATCATTCATTAATTTTCTGTCTTAACTGTTGGCTGTGACTGACAATTCTGTAAGCATCACTACTTTTTCAGAACCCCTGCAGTTATCCAGAGATAAATTGCCCAAACTTACAATTCAAAGCCAAGGTGCCTGCAAGCCACGTTTGCTTCATTCATAGTCCATTCACTAGCACACACAAAACTGTCCTCCTTACGATTCACAGGTTTTACTTGAAGCAAACTTGAATCTCCGTGACCCAGAGAGACTGAAAATGTTTCTTAAAAAATAAAAAAGAGAGAAATGAAAAAAAAAATCCCCAAACAAAATCATATTATATAGATGTATCTAGTGGAAAGACAGCACAAAACCAAATCAGGACTAATTTTGTATTTACAGCCAAAGTTCATATGGAAAGAACAGTAGATTGGGAATCAGAAGGTTCAGGTATTATTCCTGAATTAGTTCTGAGGATTGACTTTGTGTCTTTGAGCCTGATAATTTCTCAGAATATGCCAGTTTAAGGACAAATGAGGGTAATGGGTCCATAAGAGTATTTGAAGAGCTACCAAGAACAGGTTGTGTTTCAGTATAATGACGTTCTTTAGGGGATTTTTGATAACCCACCAGTAATACTCGAAGTTAGAGGGCCACATCCTTCTTCTATTACCTGTGTTGCAAACTGCCTACAGCAGTCTGTGTAGCAAAGCCAGCAGCAGGGTGACCTGGGCCTGTCAATCACTTTATTTTTTATGAAAATCAGCAGATACTGCCCATTTTCAGTGACTTTTCATTTTCTGTTTCATGTTGTTACTAGTGCAAAAAAATGAACAGACTTTCTATAAATAGTGTAAGCATCTCCTCAGCCACTCCTGATGGATAAATTTCGGAAAAGGAGGTGTGAATACCTTCAGGCTTGCATGTTCCCCTGTGCAGAAACTTTGCTTTGGGTTGCTGGCACTCATAGCTCTTCAGCTGGCAGTAAGTACGGAAGTTCTTTCCACTGGTAGAACAAACTGCAGAACCATTCTTTGGGCACTGGTAGGGAAGCTTGCACAGGCATTTTCCCTCCACACATCGTTCCCATGGGTGACAAAAAACTTTCTGACATGACTTGTGGGTGTATTGGTTGCCCAAGCATTCTTCTATGAGGTAGTTGTCTTGCTCAGCTGGCTGGACAGGCTTAACCTGTTGAAAATGGTTTTTTTCAGCATTAGATGCTGCCTTCTGCAAGGCACACAAAAAATAATTAAAATAAAAGCAAGATTAGGGATTGCACCAAGAGTTTTGCAGATCCCTTTCAGCAAAGTGTCCATTTGTAAGCCTTTTCCTATCTAATAAAAAGTTCCTAAATACCATTTATAGAGTTTATTCCCTTGTCTTTGGCCACCTCGCCTTCTCAGTTTCTCTGAACTCCTTTTTTCTTTTTGGATTATTTACCTGGTGTGATCTTCAGTCTTACTGATCTCCCACAGACTTTATACCCTTTACTTTTCAAACATCAGCTGAAGTGCACAGCAGATTATAAACATTTTTAAAGGCATTGGTTTATAACACATCCCAGCAATGGGACTGTAAGCAGATTAAAACATAAAGGAATTTAAGCACTAGAAAAAGAAAAAAAATAGCAATCTGGGGCTTTTTTTCTAAGATTTGTTTTATTGGCCTGGTTGACTTTGGATTTAAATATCACACATAAATATTTATGAATTACTTACTAGCAAATGAATCTATAGTTAATGATCTGTTTTGCAGAGTCCACATGACTGCTCAAGTAACAAGTACCTCAAATACCTTAACGAGTACCCAAAAGCAATTTGAAAATGAAGTGCTCATCCTTATGAGCGTTTTTCCTGTGTCTTGCACAGCAGTGTGTTTGCAGTGTGGCTGCTGGCCATCACTGGCTTGCAGGTACAGACTGTGACCCTCCCTCTGGGTGAGGGGCACCTGTGTTTGTGCACCTCTCTGCTGGCTGCAGTGCTGGCTGAGTGCTTTTGCTTGCAAAGATCTGCGGGTAGGATGAGTCTTTGAACATGGAAAATATATATGGATGTCTTCTGTGTAAAAATGGGAGAAAAACATTAGTCCTCAAATGTGATTTATCAGCTTTGACTGTTTCAACTGGATCAATAGAGCTGAAGTTTAAAGTTCTCATGAAGAAATCCTGCCCACAGTAAAGTCAAGGAGGATGTAGCTGGGGCAGAATTCAATCCAAACCTCTCCTTTTCATGGCTGTATAATCTTATTAAATTCTTCCTGCTGTTCTTGGGTCAGTAGAATCCAAACTGTGAGCCAGATCCGCCTTGGCACAGCTCCCATGTTATGGTAGGAGTTCCTCCTCAAGGGGAACAGCAGGTGCTGATTTTTATCTCAGAACTTCTCTGAAAGGCTTGGATTGTGCTGACTGCCCAGCCCAGATGGGATTTCCTGGACACTTCTGCCTGGAGAAAATCCGCAGGAAACCTTCTGGCAGCAGGAGAATACCATGCTGCCATATTACAAGACTGCAATCCCATTTCTCAGAAAAGGGAGGTGGGGAAAATTGCAGCACCTTTCTGTGGTCAGCCATGCTTGCAAATTTGGTTTCGGATAGGATCATGATTAAAATCTTTTCCACAAACCTGTTAGCATAAGCACCAGGTAGAATCAAAGCATTAAAGAGAAACGGCAAATTTCAAACACCCAGGCTGGGCTAAAACAAATATATGAAGCACAAATTCTATGAAAGGAACTTAAAAAAAAAAAAAACCCAATTGGTTTTGCTTTTATAACAATAAACTGTTTATTAAATAAACAGTTTAAAAATACTGCTAACACAGTAAAACATGTCTTACCTCTGATCCACAAAGACAAAAGAGACACAAGAAAACCAAGCAGATTGGGAGCATTCGCATGATGAAATTTTATGTCTCTTCCTAGACTAATTCCTCTGGCTGGGATTCTTTTGAATGTCAGCTGTTAGATTTGGGTTTAATTTTTAACCATTAGAAAAATATTTTCAAGTGTGTTTAGAAATAAAGTACAGGAGCCTCAACTATGAACCGATAAATCTGATCTCTTCAAAAGATCCTGCCTTAACTGGTTTTGTCATAAGTGGATGACAGATAACAGAAGTGAAGCCCTTGAAATAAATGATTAAAAATGTGAAAAACGCCAATAACTTGTTTTTAAGATTTTTAAAAGTTTAATCGTAATAAAATGGTTATAACAATAACATTATAATTAGAGTAATAAAATTTGAACAATTGAGATTAGGACAATATGAGACAATAAAAACAAAGAGATACGGACGTCCGGGTACCTTTTTCTGGGCAACACAAGCCCGAGAAAGGACACCCGTTAACAGAGGATTAACCCTTAGGAACAATCGTCCGTTGCATATTCATACACCTCATACATGGTGCATAAATTCCATTCAAACACAGGATTCTGTCTGGCCATCGTCACCTTCTCCTCTTAATCCTAATTGTGTCTGAGCGTGGTGGGAAGAAGTTACTTTTCTGCTGATAAGGGAGCAATAAATTCCCTTTCTCTGAAAGATTTAGGTGTCCTGTGGCTGCTATCTGCTGCGAGTCCTTTCTTTTAAAAAGTATCTTACATAGCATCTTAGAGTTTCTGTTTTAACATGATGTTATAACCTAAAGCTATACTTAACACACTACCTAAGAAGATTAACACAGCACAACTGTCTAACATAACACATTCAATATTCATTTTAATACTTGCGAAAAGCCAATCCTAAAACACACATTTTTCACAGAAGGAAGCGCGTGTTGGGATGACGCTTTGCTTTGCGCAGGGACTCCGAGCGATCCATCGCCCCGGCTCCCAGACCGCAGTTGTTCCCGCGTGCCGGGTTACTGTGCGAGGTCGCTGTTGTCACCCGGTGTGCGTGTCTGAGCGACCCCTCCCGTGGCTGTCCCGCCCGTCCCTCGGGAGCGCGGGACGCTCGCTCCCGGCGCGCGGCAATTATCGGGAATGGCGAGTCCTTTGCGACAGTGCCGGCCGCCGGGCGCCCTTTCATTTACGGCAGGCAGCCCCGTTTGCGGCAGCGCCGGTGTTTCCGGGCGGGCGGGGCGCGCACGTGCAGGTACGTCCGGCCGTGTCCGTGTGTCCGTCCGTCATCCCTCAGGGAATGGCCCCGGGAGCTGGGCTCCCCCCGCCCTGCATGCAGGCCGCCTCCCGAGGGCTCTGAGAGGCGCTGCGGGTGCGCGCCCAGTGCGGCCGAGCACGAGCAGTGCGGCCTCCCGAGGGAGCCTCCCGAGGGAACCTCCCGAGGTTTAACGGGGCCGAGAGGAAGGGTCGGGACGACCCCTGGTACCAGCACGGGCTGGGAGGGATGGATAGAGGGAGAGCAGCCCTGCTGAGGAGGACTTGGGGTGCTGGTGGGTGACAGGATGGACCTGACCCAGCAATGTGCACTCACGGCCCAGAGAGCCAAACTTGTCCCAGGCTGCATCCAGAGCAGCGTGGGCAACAGGGGAGGGAGGGGATTCTGCTCCTCTGCTCTGCTCTGCTGAGACCCCACCTGCAGGGCTGCATCAGCTCTGGGGTGCCCAGCACAGAAGAGACGTGGCGTTTTTGGAGCAGATCCAGAGGAGGCCACGAAGGTGGTCACAGGGCTGGAGCACCTCTGCAGTCAGGCTGAGAGTGGGGAATGTTCAGCCTGGAGAAGAGAAGGTCCTGGAAGATTTTATTGCAGCCTGCCGGTGCCTGAAGGAGGCTACAGCAGAACTTGAGAGGGACATTTCCCAAGGGCATGTAGGGGTAGAATAAGAGGAGACAGTTTTGAGCTGAAAGAGGGTGGGTTGAGGTAGGATATTAGGAAGAAGTTCTTTACTGTGAGAGCGGTGAGGCACTGGAACAGGCTGCCCAGGGAAGCTGTGGATGCCCCATCCCAGGGAGTGTTCAAGGCCAGGCTGGATGGGCCCTGAGCAGCCTGTGGAAGGTGTCCCCGCGCACAGCAGAGGGGTTGGAAGAAGATGACCTTTAGGAGCCCTTCCAACCCAAACCATTCTATGATGTTCTCACTTTGTGCCACTCGTGGGGCTGGGGACTGGCTGGGATGCCATCAGATATGGCATCTGTGTACAGATGGGTGAAAGATGACTAGCTGATCACTGCTAGTCACTTTTTGCAGTTGGATGTTGCAGTGGATGACATCTTAGGTGCAAACTTGATTTTTCATAGGCCAGCATGTTTCTGGTGAGGATTGGAAAGGACAAACCATTAAATTAACAAACCAGGCTGACAGGAGACTGCAGTTTCTACAGCAAATCAAATGTGACGCATACATCTGATTTTTTTTGTTCACAATGCAGGAAACAGTAGAGAATGTCTTTTCGTGGAAGAGGAGGTGGAGGAGGAAGAGGAGGTGGCTTTAACCGTGGAGGAGGTGGCGGTGACAGGGGCGGCTTCAGCCGCGGCGGGCGAGGTGGCTTTGGACGGGGAGGTGGAAGAGGAGGCTTCAACAGAGGAGGATATGACCAGGGCCCTCCAGAAAGGGTAGTTTGTAAGTTACATGGAGAAACTTCATTTATTGTGTTGAGATTGTCTGTTCCAGCTCTTTAGCTTGTTTGTTCTTTATTTCAGTGTTGGGAGAGTTCATGCATCCCTGTGAAGATGACATAGTTTGTAAGTGTAAAACAGAAGAAAACAAGGTGCCTTATTTCAATGCCCCAGTGTACCTGGATAATAAGGAGCAGATTGGCAAAGTGGATGAAATATTTGGACAGCTGAGAGACTTTGTATCCTTCAAAAAATGTTCAATAATTGATTTGATATGAAATGGGATTTCTCTAGGATTTTAAATAGTTCAGGGGTTGGCTACCAGTTCTCTGTGAGTCTTGCTGCAACTGTAGGTGCTTCATACACATTAAGTGCCCACCTTAGAGCTTTTGTGATATGACAGAGCACTTGAAGTCAGTCAGAGGTTTTCACTCTTTAGCAGTACTGATGCTGTGTTTTGGATCCATGGTGGTTCAAATTGTTACTTTTTGTGGCTAACTGACCAAATTTTCTGCTATAGGTTATTAAGCCATGGCTGATTTGGATCAAGGGCCTTGGGGTTTTTTTGTGGGTTAGGGGACCTTGCTCATGCTCCAGCACATTATTTAATTATAAAGTGTGTTTATACTAAGATGTCCTGTGGCTCATTGTCCAGTTTATTACTTTACCTGCCCATAAAAATGGGCATATCTCTGACATCAGAGATATCAGGACATCTCTGGCAGAGCCAGCCTGACACAGAGACATTGGGTACATTCTGTGGTCACTGCCAGGTGGACAGAACCCATGACAAAAGGAGGATAGCTGGGGGAGTAACCCAGTTAAGACTCAGCCTGTGTTGGTTGGTTGAGTACCAGTCACTAGCTACGTGCATTTTCCTCACCCACATTAAATATGAAGTAAAATATGCAGGTTTCAATCACTTTTAGTTGGAATTGTGTTGAAATTTAGCTGAATTTATGAAATACTTAGAAAATGTCTGAATGTTCCTTCCATATACTGATCAAAATCACAGTTTTGCAAGCTTTATTACTGCAATGCTCCTTAAGGAAACCAACAGTATTTTTCAGTGAAACTGTCTGAGAACATGAAAGCCTCTTCATTTAAAAAAATGCAAAAGGTAAGTCAGTCTCAATAACAGAATTTTACTGAATGTCATCTGTTAGCTAAGTCTTTGTCAGCAGATAATAAAAGCTTTATTAAGTTTTTAATAACTTTAAAAGCAGATTGTCCTATGTAAACATAGGAATTAAATTCCTCATCCTTTCCAGTTTTGTGTTTGCCACATTATTCCCTCTCCCTGCCCCACAAGAAAAGATGCAACAAAATCACACAAATACCACCTATATTTTAGCAGCTTTTTAATTCTGGGATTTACTTCTTGTGTGCTTTCTCTGTTTGGCTTTTTGCAGAGGACAGTTTGACATAATGGGATAAGACCAAATTGTGGTTATTTGTAAAGAAAGATATTAATGTGCTTTTTCAGTCTTGTTATTTTGAAAGCCTAATGGAATTCTCTTCCTGCAGTTTTACATTGATCCAGCAAAGCTGCTGCCTCTTCAGAGATTTTTGCCAAGGCCCCCTGGAGAAAAAGGTGCTCCCAGAGGAGGTGGTAGAGGAGGACGTGGTGGTGGACGTGGGGGAGGAAGAGGTGGTGGTAGAGGTAAGGTCACAAGAATCTTAAAGCTGCAGAATGTTGGAGTTATTTGAGATGCCATGAGTTGCTTTGGTCATTTGTTCTGTGGAATATTTGTGTTTTGTTTTCTGAAGCTGCTGGTGAGTACTTGAATATCAACAGCTGTATTGCAGATGAAAATGTTTCTGCTTGACTTTATAGAAGAGTCAGTGATACCTTTCAGGTGGTGAGACTGGCTAAATAACAGCTCCAAAGCAGAGGGAGGAGAGAATGCTGATTTGTAACAAAGACAGAAAGTTTTTTGAACTTCACCTGTGATGTACTCTTCAATTAAAGCTGAAGTTTGTTTTTTCTTACATCACAGTTTCTTGTCTCTTTTCCATACCCTGCCCCTTTTCAGCAAGGCCTGAGTGTTTCAAAGTGGTTTGGTTTAATGTTGAGTTGCAATTAATAGATAATAATTACTAATAGTTGTAATGAATTACTGGTTAATATATGTAATTTATTTTTTGCTCTTGTGAAGGTAATTGTTAAGTCTCTTTAGTATTTTGGACATGGTATATCAGATATTAAGCAATACCTAAAATGCTCCAGATGGTCCCTAGAAGAAACAGGGTACTAGTAATTGACCTGGTAACTGTCTGGCAATTGACAGTTTCTGGTTTTTTGTTGTTGTTCGTTTCATTTCATAAGCTGTCTATGAAATAAATTGTTGTGCATAACCAAGAATTTACATGCTCCTCAAAGGGTAATTTCTTTTGTTTAGGAGGATTTGGAGGAGGCAGAGGTGGAGGAAGAGGAGGAGGATTCAGAGGAGGTAGAGGCGGAG